CGAAAATCCACCAGCTGCAACATAGGCCTTGGCGTATCGCTGGGGCTCGCTAAACACCCAACGGAGCTGAGCCTGAGGGATGGGACCTGGCACCGGAGCCCCAGCTGAAGGCTCGTGCCTCCTCCCCGAGGGCGGTGGGAAGGAGATGCTGGCTCCTCTCACGGCTGAGCCACAGCCCCTCCTTTGCTGCCAGGAGAGGACCTGGAGCGACTGTCCCTCTGCACCGCGGACAGCACAGGGCAGAGCAAACTCCCAGCGTTGCCCATCGCCCTCCCTGCTTGCCCGTCCAGACCCTGCCATCAAGACAAAAAAAAAAGAAAAAAGCCGCCTCCGTCTTGCAGAGACAAACGGGCTCGCTTTCTCATTTCAGGAGAAAATACTCCGTCTGGTATCCCGGCTGTGACACAGACCTTCGAGGAAGCCGAACATACACAGTGACAGTGAAGTGGTAAAACTGCCTTCTGCAAAAAGCACCGTGACTGCTGCCACCTCAGCGGGCTGTATCACTGCGTGATTAAGTTCTTACCAGACTTTTTGGTAAAGGCAACCTTCCTGATCTGATAACTGCCAAGGACAAGCCAAATACGCAGGGTCAATCTATGCACATTTAATCCCCAGAAGGCAGATTAAGTGTATAATTGACCCATATAATCCGTGTATCATCTCCAGTGGAATGTTTTCTATGTCCGGTTTAGGCAGACATGAGGCCCATAAGAAAGCGATCAGAGACACAGCATTACCACTGCAGTGGATTTCATCAAAGTCAGAGATGGCTTTTTAATCACTGATCTCAGAGACTGCTAGATTTAAGCAGATGAACTAGCACTAAGCACATCTGTTTTAATCCTTATCTTCTACTCAGGCTGGTGTCTTCAAGAAGTACAAGGAGGAAAAAAATAAATTAATTTTTTTTTTTAGGTCCTTGCAGTCTTAGGAGCTTCTCTTGGTGTTTTGATCTCTCATATCAAAAGCGTGTTTTTGTTTTTTCGGTAAGATATTGAATTAATCATCAGAGAGAAAAAAATGCCATCTGCGCTATTTAGGGACGGCATCAGGATGCTGGAATTCACAGGATCTCGGGGAGCTCACTCAATGTAGCCTTTTGTGTACATGCCTGTGGCTGGGGAGGAAATATTCTCTCTGTTTTACATTAGTGGTTACTAATTTATGAGGAAGAAAGGTTTGCATTCACACTATCTACTAGTCAATCACAGACTTTCTGGATCACATATGTTCTAACAGGTTGAAACCTATACTGTGAGTATCTAAGGGTGTGTGTAAAGATACACACGTGTACACACATGTATAAATAACATTCACCAAAGGGCACAACCCTTACAAGTAAAACTCCCACTGCTTTCAGACAAACTGCAGATGTATAAACCCTGATCCTATGACATTCTGTCCCAAGCCAAAGGTGACCTGAACTTTGCAGGATTGTTCTGAAGACTCGAGATCACTCTGAAGATACTTTCCCACGTTTAAGATACACCTGCCTGCCTCTGACTCATTGTTTCTACAAGCAGCCACACTCTGCATGTCATTTCTGCCCCCTTTCCAGGGAAAAAAAGTGATAAAATTTTACTTTCTATCATGCACTACACAGAGTTTGCAATCCTTCTGCGTTGCGTGCAAAGTATCACACACAGCGGTTTGAATCACAAAGCACCCAGCCACGCACAGGAACGCAGGCACGCTATTCGGAAATTATTCTGTTACCACCGCTCTCTACCAATCGGCCTTATCGCAGTGTTTTAGCTTTAAATGTTATCAAATTAGTAAGCCAGGCCAAGTAAATAAGTCGTGTTACTCTGCAGTAAACAGCACTGCCAAAAAGCTAGTTAGGTTTTGATTACCAGCAGAACTCCACGATCAATCTGTTCGTTCAATGATCCCAAGAATACAGATTTTTAAAATTAAGATGACTCTATTTCGGGGGAGGGGGGAACCCTGACTAATTTGCAGAATTAAGAGGATTAACACACAGACCACGCAGAAATATTACAATAATCTTCCATAAACACCAGTATCTCCCAAAGAGCGCAGCCCCGTTCTGCGGGAGCGAGCAGGGCACATGATGCAGGGGAAGAGAGATGGTTTCTGAGCTAAGAAATCAAGGGAAACGCCAAAAAAGATGCATTAACCCAGCTTCTGCTGGGAGATGGCCCAATGCATGCTGCAGCCTCTGCTCCTGGGACGAAATGAAAGGGAAGCGAATGAAAACACTGGGCAGGACTGTGGATTAGGGATGTGCTGGGAGCTGCAAAGCCCACCCTGCGCTGTGCACCTCTGCTCCAGCACCACTCGTGACAGCACAGAAAGGGGATGTCACCCTATATTGTGAGTGTCTCTAAGGAGATCCCGCTGAGAGCAGAGGAGCTGCCTGCAGGCAGACTGAAGCTCTTTACCTGCCGCTGCTGCACGTATTGTCATAAACCATCCTAAAACTGGACCAAGCTTTTGGCCGGGATAAACCAGCATCACTGCGCTAAAGCCAGTGGAGGAGCCAGCCTCGAAAGTGTTAATAATCTCATTGCCTGGAGAAACTGCACCTAAGAGGATTGATCTGCTGCTGCACTGGGGGAAGCGAGAACAAAATCAGGCCCAAGTCTAATTCGGCATCATAAATACCACTTCTGGCTATTCCTCTTCCTTATTAAACAGGTAGCTAGCACTTAAAATGTCCTCGGAAAATCTATCAGAGAACAGACCAAAGGAGCTTAAAGATCCCGTGGCCGCGCTGCTTCCCTGTGTTTTTGGTGAGGAGGACAAAGGGCTGCAGGGCTGGGGCTTCTGGGGCAACTGAGTTAAGCGTTCGCTCCCATCCCTACTGAAACGTCGGTGAACACAGCACTGACCTAACGAGGGTCTGTGCCCAGGCGGCCCCCACGTACTCACAAACCCTGCTGCTACTGACCCACCAGCAGCACCTCAGCCCGGCTGAGGGGTGACCGCGGGAGCAATCAGCTTCTTCAGCTGCAATCTGGCCAAGACGATACACAATTGCTCAAAACATTAATTCCAATTTCTCCGGGGTTAGGGCTCGGCGCATCCCCCTCCCTTCTTGCAAACCATGGGCCCTGCAGCTCGCCCCGCTCGTGGGCACACACTCACGTACGGGAGACACATGCCAAGAGGCCGGTGGCATCAGGTCCCAATGCTGCCCCGGGGTTTGGGAATGAGAATGGGAGCGGGGATGGGAACAGCTCCCACATGCTGCAGCCGGTGTGGGTCAAAACAGGTGAAGCAATGTAAAACCCCTACTCTTGATTATCTTATTCAGCATGCACCATGGAGACTTGAGGAGAGCAGGGAGGGAAAGAAAGGTTTTGCACTTTTTGCATTCCACCAAGGTAGCTTCTCTTTTTTTTTTTTCATGATGTCAATTGTTAATTTGTTTAAAATATGGCTTGGTAAAACTAAGTATGATCAGATCAAACTGAAATCAATATTTGGGCTAATTACAGCATTTTGAAAATTGGAAATAACGGCCCAAAGGGTACAAACACACCAACTGTGAATCATAGGGAAAGGATAAGGGAAAAGGCAGTGTGGGCATTGAAAAGAACAGTCCAGATGAGCTCTGGAAATTTAACTGCTCATGGAATAAATTTCAACACAAACGAGTAATGCACTCGCAGGCCGGCTGCAGATGGAAGTGACAGTCTTTTGTTTTATGTTTTGTTTTTTCTCCCCATGCCTGCTTGATGGGTGATTTGCGTCTGGTGCTCTGCGCTGCAAACTCTCCCCGGAGCGAGCTTGCGCGGCGCCCGGAGGAGGCACTGCTGTGCTCCGCGCATGAATGAGGCATTCTCAGTGGATATGGGTCATGCTAGTAGATGTACACAGTAAGATTATTTGACTCTAATTCATGCCACTTGATATAATGTGATAAAACATTTGACATGAGAGATAAGTTCCATTTTAATCTGGTAAGGTACAGGGGACAGAAAGAGTGGGAATTGCAAAGGAGGAAGAGGTTTCTAAGGGACAGGTGATGCGCAGAGAGAGAGGCATCGAGTGAAGGAGGGGATTGGCTGGGGAAAAAAGCAGTTTTCCTGCAAACGGAGGAAGCAAACGAGCAAGTAAAGGAAGCGAGGAAGGTTGTTGCAGTTCCAGAGCTGGGAGACTAAGAAATGGCACTGCTGAGAGATGAGAGGAAGGAAAGTAGGAACAGAAGCTGCTTCAAACAGAAACTGATATATAGACAAGTACGCTAAAGGAGACTGAAACACTAACGCTACAGGCTGGCCGCCAACAGAAAACCTGTGCTATAGAACAGCTACGAGGACAGAAAGGCTACAACGCAACAAGAGCAACAAAAACAGAGGTATCAGTTAACATGCATCCAAATCCAAACCAAACAGACATCACAGGTCACTGTTCTCTTACAGTCCAACAGATTTATCTCATGCAACAGAAAAATAGTTCTGAACAGCTGGGTCAGTAACTACAACGCTGTCTTCAACAAGGAGACCATGTCTCTACTTCACCTTTGGTGTCAGACACCACAAGACGGTTTTCCTGAAATATGAAAGCCCATTCACAATCAGCTCTGTTTTGGTTAGCTTTTGAAATTAAAATTTAGGAAGGTTGATTCTCTGTCAGTTTTGGAGTGCTTGTCAATGAAACACATTGCAAAATGGCTCCTAGCAAATGCATCTGCCAAACACCTGGTTCAAACAGTGAGAACAATGACCAAGATGTTCTGTTACAGAGAGGTTTTTCACAAGCTTAAACATAGTAAAGGGCTCTCTTAGAAGATGCTGTTCCCTTAAAATCCACGCACAGACAGACCAAGACATAGTAGACTAGAGTACAGATTTAAAGCAGGCAGAGAGCAGATACGAGCCTTAGTCAGAAAGAAAGGAAAGATTTCTTTATTTTGTAAAGCTCTAACCAATAAATTTGCTCAAAATGTGACTTATCCTCCTGTCTTATTTTGTCACATTTTGGGTCTCTCCTGCTTGGCATCCAAGGAGGAGAAGGCATTTACTTACATCAAATAACCTTTCTATATACATCTCCTCATTGACCTTATCACGCAGGACATCCTGAGAGTGGCGGACAAATGTCACATAGGCATCAGCAACATCCATCCCCGGCTTCTGCATGGGGGAGAGAAGAAGAGAGAGAGAGAGAGAGAAACATGAATAGCGGCGCAGGGGGCGGCTCCTCTGTGCAGCCTCATCGCTGCTTTTCCTTCTCCGCCATCTCCTGCAGTTTGCCCTTTCCTTACCTGATGGACACTGAGTCTTTGTGCCCTGTGCCCAACGAAATACTGTGTGCAGCACCAGACCATGCAAAGACGCCTGCTCTTTCTCTTCTTTTGCCTAGAGTGAAGCTGGTCGGAGGAATAAAGCTCCTCCTCGACAAACCAACGCTGGGATGTTGTCTTGCTCCCTTTGCTGATGTTGACCTAACGAGTGAACCAGCAAGCGGGGCTGCGGATTTGCTGTTTTCTTGCTTTCTTCTCTATGTAACAAGCCCTCTGGTTTCTGAAGGTAGAAAACTAACAGCCTGAGCTGGGCTCCTGGTTCTTCTTCTACAGCGTGAGGATGTGTGTAGTAAGCAGCTGGCATTGCAGGAGGCATCTCAAAATCACCTTTCTTTTTCTGTTTAGGCCCCTGGCTTTAGGTCACATTTACTGCTGCTCTTAAGAATAAATTGGGTAAACAGTAAGTCTGGGAATGTATGTCCACGTGAATGTTCAAGTCACTGCTACACTCTAGGAAGATTCCCTGTGCTGTCACATCTCTACAGCTCTCTGCAGAATTTAACTGATTTTAAACAGTAACATACAAGCATGCAAGAGTTTGAGGACAACAGCATTTCTTTAAAGAAAACGGGAACTGAAGCAGGTGGATGGGAAAAAACTTAAACAAAAAAAAATCCTGTTTGAGTTCACACTGCTTGATCTATTGGAATCAAACTTACCTCAAAGGAAACCCATTAAAATACTGTAACACGAGTCATTACAAGACCTGCCACAAAATCTTAAATTTCCATGGCACATTGTAAGTTTGTTAATAACTAGTGTCATTAGTTTCCATTACTGTGATTTACCTCAGATCACAGAGTATCATTTCTCTGCAAGATACGATTGTCAGCCACTGTAAATTGAAGTTAGTTAACACATCTGTGTAATTTCCAGGGTGAAAATGAGGACAGTTTGGAAAGCAGTGGGAAGGGAGTTTTTGTAATACAAAGCAAACAATTATCAAGCAAAGGGCCAGTGCTTGGCCCTTGGGAAGCCAGTAACATTTCTTAACACCTACTGCAACAATGACAAGGTATTAATTTGAAAAACAATGAGGACAACACAAATGTGGCAGTAGTCAAGTGTTACACTTTCAAGCAATTTTCAGCACGCCCATTTCATTTTCATCGTGCCCATTTCAAGGTGGCATTAAATGGATTGGATTGGTTTGTACCCAGACAACTGCAATGGCTTTTGTGGAATTAGATTTAACTGATGGTTTTCTGGTCAACACCAGGATTTCCCCCCTGTCCTCTAGTCAAACAGATTTTTCCTTCTCCTTGCCCTGAAAGGGCAGGGGCTCACGGGCCATGGGGCATCCTTCCCCAAAGGCCTGGGGCTGGTGCTTGATTTCATTGAACGTCTTTGGGCTGAAGGAAGGAAGCCGTTGTAATGTGGCTTTGTTTCCAGGGGAAGGCTGGGAAACAACCAAAAAGTAACCCAGATGAATGATTTGTGATTTATGTTACACAAAGAAATGGAGCATCCGACTGGCTCCAAGGACGGGGGCAGAGCCTCGCGCAACGCCGTGGACCTCCCAGGGGTGCTGCTGGGTACAATGATTTTGGAATAGCTTGAAAGGGTTATATAGCGTTTTACTGAGAGCTCTTCCCTGGAGATGCTTTACTTTCCAGGAACACGGAAGCTTCAGAGAAGGCCACACTTTGCCCTGAAAGTTACTTAAAATAACTCTTCTGTGCTCAAAGTCCTGATGACTAAATATTTAAGATGCACTCAAACAACTATAAATTTCAACTAGAGGATTTCCAGATTTTCTAAGGCTAGAAATGGATTTCGAGTCCCTCTTTCTAAGAGTCTCAGTATCTTGTTTCTGTTTCTCCAAGACAGCAGGATGCCAGTCGCTGCACTGGGACACTCTAAACCAAGCAAGACCTGTTCCTGTTCAAGAGTTTGTCTCCCCCATGCTGGGCTAAAGATACGACAATTTGATATGAAAGGTTTCTTTTGGGCTGAAGGGATAGGAACACCAAATGCAGATGATGTGGCCCAAGGCATCTGATGTATTTACCATGCTGTCATGTGAGAGCATGCAGAGCAACCGCATTCACATTAAATGTACATATATGCATTGTACATATAGGCCACTGACTTCAACCGAGTTACTCTTGACTTACACTGCCCAGTCTATACGGAGGATTTGGTGTGGTACATTAAGATCTACTCTTTTTTCACTTGTAATTGCTCAGGATCTCTCTGCCTGTAAATGTTACAGTAACCCCTTATTTCAGCCAACATTCATATATTACACTTCAACTCAATTTAAATGTAAATTTCTGGCAAGTTAAGAGCTCTGTCTAAGAGTGTTAAGGGCTCTTTTCCTTATGAATCAAGGTCTAATTAGAGGAGACGATGTACAGTTTTTCTATACCAATTACAGAAAAATGGAAAAAATTATTTTCATTAACAATTTCCCAAACACATGTTGCTAGCTCATCACCATTTCGCCAAAGTAATAAAAAAGTCATTTGCCGAAAGAGTAAAATAAACCAACAATTAGAAGAATAAAAATAAAATAGATTAGCTAATGTGTTAGATGTGTGTTGGCTCAGTTCTAACATGTCTGGACCTTTTTGTTTGGAAATTATACTGTATTTGTACAAGTCCAAATGAAGAATTAACAGAATGCACTGCTCCTATTTTTTTTTTTTTTAAAAATGTGATTCAAGCCAATTGCATAAATATGGTACCTTTTTGACACCATCTGCAAATTATTGCCTAAACAGCCTCGTAGGTCTCCATAAAAGGGTAACTGCTCATTATTAACTTCACAAAGATATTCTTTCCAGTTCAAATGTTAGAAGTGTGAAGGCCCATGGCTCAATCTTCGCTGTTCATGGATAATGTGGGTTGCTACACATGCCATAAACCAAAGCACTATGCAAATTACTATGACAGAAGTTGTTTAAATTGTGCTTACGGGTACATCCACGTATTTGGAAGCAGCCTTCACCTGTAAAAGGAACAAGAAGAGAGTTTACACCATCAGTACATTTCCAGGTCTTTGATTTTTCCTTAAACACCTGTAAGAGCTTCTCCAGCCAAGGCCTGCTGCGAGAATGCTGAGTAGGGGAAAAAGTGTAATAAAAAAACTACATTTCCTGTCTAAAAGAATAGGCAAGGGTGGTATCTTTGTTGTTGTTTTTTTTTTTGGAGAGGTAACTTTGCTGCTGCGAAAGCTCTAATAGCAACAGATGACAGTGTGGGAGTTGTGCTTCTCCCTCTTCTACTTCAGCAAGTGGAGGAAGATGGGGTTTGTAAGTAGACATTGTTATTTTCTTCGGAGGCCTCATTCCCCTGCCGATGCCAGGTGTCCCTTCCGCTGGGACCCGCATCCCAGGGACCACGGGAGCCCCCTGGCAGAGTGGCCACCACGGCATGGCGGGGCTGGCAGGCACTTGCACTGGGGCGATCACAGGAAAGTGCCCCAAAGCACCTTAATTCTGCCTCCTGGCCACAGCTCCGCATGCAGTGTGCTTCCCCCGGGACGTTATTTTCGCCCTTTTTTGCTGTCCCTGCTGCTGGCAGAGCTTGCAGACATGCCGGGGCAGTGCGCTCATGTTGTGAAACGGAGAACTGCCCCAGAGCGTTTCTGCTTCCCGGCCTCCCAACAGCTGCGTTAGGCTCCTACGATTTCCTCCCCCACCTTCTAAAAGATGCTGTTTGCGGGAAGGTATCAGAGGGGACACGCTGCACTCCGCAGCATCCTCACAAGCTGGCACAAGATCCCAAATTTGCTCTGCCTCCAGTTTGCCACGCAGCACCGTCGCCTGGCACGGGAGCCGGGGTGGCCCCCAACGTCAGGGCCAGCTCTTCCAACTGAGCAGTGCCCAGCTGGCCAGAGAGACCTTTTTCCCACTGTAGCATAAGGCACCATGTCTAGAAAGAGTACGGCTGGGATTTTCCACCACGCTTCTGCTTTTAATTAGGGTAAGCGTTGCCGGCCATCTTTGTTTGGGTGTAAAAGCTCACCTGCTTTTAAATATTTCTAAAGCTACCATTAAAACAGCCTAAATATAACACGCACACAGTTGCATCTTGGGATGAATAAATTATGTGTCCCGAATGAGAGAATGAATGTATGTGTGAGACAGAATGTGAGAGTGGGTGGAAGCACTCATATGGTGTGTGTGGGGGGTGCATAATTAAGCACAATGAGGCGATACAAAAGACCAGACTGGTGGTAATTGCCGAGGTGAACGCTGCAAGTATTGGCAGCGCCCGGGCTGCCGAGCCGGAGGGCAAGAACAGAGGGAAGGGCAGGAGGAGGGTGCTGAGCGCCTGCCGCCGCGATGAGACTCAGGTTTGGGCTGTTGGAGGGGACGAAGGGGGACGGGGTACGTCCCGGCACATGAGTTTATGAAGGAGGCAGCAAAACCAGCACCCAGCCCTCGCTCCCAGCGAAAAGCCAACGCTCGTCTCTCCTCCAGGTACCCCTGTTTGCAACCAGCCGGTTGGACACCTCGCCCTTGCACCGCGTTTATCCGCATAACTTTCTTGGGAGGCAGTGGAGCGCTATTCCTCGCTCAAGCCGAATGGGAGCGGAGGAGAAGGCAGCTGGAGCCTGCCCAAGGGCTGCAGCTCTAGAGGAGCAGGCAGGCACGGCACACCCACGCTGGCCTGGAGCAGGGCTGCCCAAGCTCCCTCCCAAAAGAGCTCTTTTTAAATTTTTTCTAAGCGGCAAAGCTAAAACGATCAGGAGGAAAGCTTGGAAAAATGATGCGGCTCGACAGCCCGCAGAATTCAAGCCGGGGTCAGCGCTCAGGGCTGCACCTGTATCTTCAAATGTCACTCAGGGCGTGAAGCAATGCAGCGGCGCCCCAGGGGACCTGAGATCTGGGCACAGATTTGCCACTCTTGGGTCCATCTTAGCGCCACCAAATCAAAGGACTTTCTTCTCCAAAGCCAAGAGGCGACAAGAATAACTCAGCCGGCTTCCTGCGATCTCCCCTCTCCACCCACAAACAAAAAAAAGAGCTTCTTCTCCTGCCCACTCCCCTTTAATCAGAATAATTACTTGTTTTTCTTTGAACTCAAATTTGGCTACATTTAGTGAAATTTCCAAACTGCCGGATGTTGTGTGATTTTTGCTAGGCTGCCGTTTTTCACAAAGTATGTGACTTTGCCATGAAACGTCTCAGTTTACCATACAAATTTTGCACAGAACAAAAATAAGATCTTTTTACTTCTGTCTCCCTCGGGTAATACATAGTCTTTAGTTTTAATCACCATAGGTGTCATTCTCCACCTACAGAGGCCATCCAGATTAAAGAGAATTTTAGCAGCTGTCATTCCTGTGACTCTGTGGGTATGCTCATGCAGATGCCCAGCCAGGGCCTGAGCTGCTGCTGCCAAGATGCACTTAAATGTAGCAACAAACAGGAAAAAAAAAAAAGTCTGGCCAAATTTAGAAGGGTGTTTTCCTCTCAAAGTGCTCTGCAAGGAGAAGTGGCTAGTGAGAATTTATTAGGACAACAGATGCATTAATTTTATCTTGAATTTCGAGGCAAGAATTGGAAATGAGGATACCCCACTAGGTGATAAAACTGTCTGTCACAAGACCCCTGATTACATGTCTCTTGCAGAGCGCCGGGAAAACATACGATGAAAGAAGTTGGTGGAAGGGGGTGGGAGACTAATGCTTTCCAGAGCTCAGCGCCTTGGACCATTACACTTTGTTGTATTTGTTCAGACAGGGAAAACGTGGGAGGTGGTGCAAGCATGCTGTAACAAGAGAGAGTTTCTCTATTTATCATTGCAAAGACTAAACACAGCAAATCACATTACTACTGCAGGGAAGGGCGACTTTCTAAGCGCAGTGCCAAAGGGGTCAGGGCTGTTCGTCAGCCTCCTCCTGCACCTCGTGCTGCCCAGTGGCTCCCAGCAAACAAGTGGGCCAAAGTGAGAGATGTCCCTTGCCTGGAAAGGAGCAATCCTGCTCCTCTGCAAGCTCCTTGCTGGAGACGAGGGCTCAGCACCTTCCCATAGACATGCACACACCATGCACGGAAACTTTTTGGATGCGCGTGTGTTCGCATCTGGAAACTCAGGGAACTGAAGCTATGGGGCCAGGTTCAAAGCTTGTGAGGCTGTCAGAATGGGACAGACCATTTTGCTGCTGCTGGAGCAGTTAATTGTCAGTAAGGGCCCGAGGAGCAGTAGAGTGAAGGTGCTTGAACCTCGTGCACCTATGTGCTGCTCCTCATGGGCACCCAGGGGTAGCCAGGGGGTTCGCTCAGCAATCGAAGGGAGCAGCGCTCGCCAGCGAAAACAGTGGGATGTGGTGGGAGCAGCGCAGCATCAACCGAGGAACAGCTTGGATTCGGGGAGAAGGAAGGGCTGCACATTACGCTGTCTGCCCGGGCTGATGCCGGTACTTCCGACGTCTGGAAAGCTGCCGCCTCCACATCCTCTGCTGCTGGCACGCGAGCATCTCCTAACCCTCCACAGCACCGGCAGGAGGGAAGGTACCCAGCCCCGGCCAGTCCCTGCATCCCCCGGAGCAGGGACAGGCACAGCCCTGGTGGAGTAACCACGCAGGGGTTATCCTGGAGGAAGAGCCGCACTGCAGGGCTGGGGTGGGACACCCTCCCTCCCCCTCCTCTAAAGAACAGACTGCCTCCAGCACACCTGAAAAGTCAGGATGCTTAGTCTGAGCCCCGTGCTGGTTCCGATAAGCTGCCAGACTGTGTGTGCACACAGCTGCCATGAGCAGTTTCTTGCCTTCCTACGTCCATCTCCGTTTCCAAACAGATCCTACAAAATTGCCTCAAACTCAGCAAAAAGGGCCCAAGAGTAGCAAACAACAGACAATTTGCAAGTAGCTAAGACAACTCCTGAATGAGATTTTGGAAAACTTTCCCAGTTTGCAGAGCAATGCCTTCTGCCTCCTGCCCAGTCTGTGAACAAGGGAGCGCAGGGCAGGCTGCACACGCAGGCGCTGAGGGCGGTGGGTGAAAATGGGAATGCGACTTTCCACGTAACCCCAGAGACACGCATCTGGGTGCACACCTGTCTGTGAGCCGAGATAAGAAAAGCCACGCTTGCAATGAGACATTCCCATCAACTTCCCGGCAGGCATTTTCAGAAGACCTTTGGAAACCAAGCTGTTACGTGTTTGTCCTAAGAAGCTGTCACAACGGCTTTCTGCAATACAGCTTGGATTGCTAAACCCTTGCTGGATACCGAGGTCAGTTTTGCACGGATATTGTTCTTGTCCTGTACCTTTCTGGGAAATAAGTGATGAGCTGTGGATTGGTTCTGCAAGGTTAGGGAGAAATGTGGCATCAGAGGCACCTTGGGCTGTGTAACCTCACGGCATTTCTCCTACCTTGTCCTCTTTTAGAGACAAAAAAGTACTCCCTAGATGTCCCTTATTTTGTTTTTTACTACTTAAGATCACCACTGTTACGGCCAGAAGACTGAGAGGAACACACCTGTCACGTAAGATGGCAACAAATTCTTTAGGGAAATTACATAGACATAGTGTAATGATTTTTTTCCATCTTTATATGCATCCTCAACATAATAAACTCCAACCTTACAGGTTGTTAGTCTGTTCATGTGGGGTTACAGTGTTCAGGCACCACAGTATGGCAGAATTATTATGTAGCTGACCTAGTCTTGGGGAGCAGGAGATTACTACTCAGGTTAAATAAAAAAAAAAAAGGAAAATACTGTCTGTACTTACAGTAAATGACAGGAAAGAAGAAAACAGAGTTCCTTCATCGTATCTGGACAGTTTGGCCAAGACTCCTTCCAAAATGGTGACAAACTACGAAGACAAAAAAATACTGCAATTATTTTTAATGATTGAACAAGGGTGTAAAAACCAGCATTGGCTTCAAAGAAGCTGGTGGAGCTCTCAGCATTCCCAGAGGAATGGACAACCTGTCCCCAAGCACAGCGAGCTGAGACGGGGAGAAGGGAGCACTGCCTTTAGGGTGCTATGTGGTCCACCTCTCGCTGGGTGGGAATCACCCCTCGGTGCCACGGGTGACGTTGGGGACGGTAGGTGGGTGCAGGGCACGGGGACGCCAGCACAGCCTCTGCGGATGGGGAAGCTGGTGGTTCTTGCTCCAGAACGCAGTGTCAGGCACGCAGCTAGCTGGGTATTCTTGCGGAAGAATCGAACCGGCATATGTTGGCGGATTATGTTTAAAGGTCTCCACTGCATAATAGGGATGACTTGTTCTCAGAAAGTTTGAAACTAAAGGAAAACACACCCCACCATCTTTCTCCCTACGTACCAGTTCCCCTCTGTGTTAGCGCAGCACACCAGACCTACACAACAACCCAAGGGAAATGCTGGCAGCTGAGCTAGAGGAGCTGACTCTGAAGAAAAACAATTTTCAAACAATTAAAGTTGACATTTTGGAATGTATTTCCTACTACTGTCACCTCTAAATTAATTTCCTAGAAGAGCATATGGCGATCTTGCACAAGACGAGTTATTTTGTCCGTGCAACCTCGCGCGTAGGAGCGGCGACCACCTCTGTGTGCCACTCCGATGTCTGCACAGCAGCACTTAGCAGTGCCCCCCGCCCCGACTGCAGCCACCCTGGGTGCCGCGGGGTGATGCTGACCACAAGGTGCTACCTCATTAACATAACACCCATTCCTCAGAACCCCTTTTGGCCCAGTACGGCAGTCCTGCTAGCAGCGTGTAACATCTCACGCAGTTCCTAATCATCAAAGAGTCACCATGAAAGGACTGGGAGATGTATGATCTTGCCTGCGAGAAACAAGAAGCCAATTCAACATCTTAATGTGTCACATTTTAATGGAAACGCACGTATTAAAAATGCAATGTTAACAGTGAATCACTTCACCTGAAGCTGAAGGTTACCTTTGCCACTAGGAGCGTTATCATTTCTTTGACGGTTTCCTCAATTAGTTCATCTATTTTTGAATGGTATTGGTGCTAAAGAAAAACAAAAGGAGAGGGGGAGGAAGAGATTAGCATTGATCACAGGAAAGAGCTCTATGGTTGTCAGCCTCCCTTGGTAAACCACAACATACAGTATTAAAACGAAGAACCACGCAGCTTATTACCCCGTGCTCTGCTATACCAGCCAGTGACTACGTACACTTGTAGGAGAGACCTTGAATTCAGGAGAATCTTGAATCAGTTTGTGAAGCATGGGTGAACCCTGCTCTCCTCTGTGTACCTCCCCCCCCCCTGCCAGCACCAACACCCATGCTTCCAGAGACCCTAAAATCCTTTTGCTTCCATTCTGTGGGCGTCACCCAGTTCACTTCACCCATGGATTGCACCTGACGATGGGATAACGCCTGCAGCCCTTGCCTGGGGCACCCCAAACCACAGAGCCCTCAGAAGGGGAGCGGGGAGGATTTGCTGCTCCAGGGCGGCTTGCAGCAGCCCAGCACCCCAACGGGTGTTACACACCGTGTTGAGCAGGCACAGGGCTCAGAAACACTCATTTAAACTCTTCACTCATTGACTGTAAGACAAATTTAAAAGCCACCCAACAAATCAACAAGGGGCTTTTTGTCCCATGCAGAAGCCAGCAGGCAGGGCAGCCCCGAGCCCTGAGTGCTGGCAGATCCTGGAGCACGAGCTCAGAAAAAGCTGACCAGCACCAGTGCCTGCAGCATCAGCGCTTCTGAATCTTCAACCCAATTTCTGCACATGCCAAACCTTGCTTAGCTTGGGAGCTCTGATGCAATCAGCTGCAATATGGCTAGAATAGGTACTAAGATACAGTCTTCTACTAATTTAGAAAAGACCTGTTTCCAATACAAGATTTAATTAGTGAAAACATACAGTATATTCTTATTTTCAATGGACTGAGAAAATACTGATTATGACTGCTTTCCAACACAAAACATGTGATTTTTCAGTCAAACATTTCAAGCACTGGTGCTAGTCACTATATTCATTACCACTTGGCATTAATATTGTTTTAAAATGTTAACATCAAATCACATTGAAAGAGACAAATCTGCTTTAAATACTAATCAGACTTTGGGAAGGAAGACTGCAAGGGCTTTACAAATGCTAGATGTTGGTCTCAGTGTCTGATCAGTAGTTTCTGAACTGCTCTACAGGTCGGGGCTTTTTTTCTATGACAGTAACATATTAATACAAGAATTTGGAAAAAAGAAAATGAAAGTAGGACACACTTACCCACACCTTAGCAAACTTTTCAGATGATTTGGGACAGAAATCAAGAGAAAAGTGCAAAAGACAGGAAAAAGAACATATGAAGATAAAGAATAAATAAACAGAATCTTTAAAATAAAGGGACATGTGAGAACAACAGCATCATGCACAGAAATAATAAGCAACAGAAAATGAAATGTGATCAAAACCTCCTTTCACTGAAGTATCAGGGATTGCTACCTGCAAGGAGTAAAAGAGGGAGAAAGGACCAGACTGTACCTAACTGCTGACAATCTCTGATGGTTTTATTTCACTCTGAAGTGGAAGCAACTGGTTGTGGAGCGCCAGGGCTGAGCATTGACCTGGCCATTCCCAGCACAGCCGGGAGGGAGCTGTGGGGTGATGAGGACCTGTAACAGCCAGGTCCAGGTAGGAGCTGCTGATGCCCTGGGCATACATGGCCACGACCTCCTAAGGGACATGAAGAAGGGGTTGTGCATATATCGGGGGTGTCTTCCCCATGACATGTTCCTTCTGCAACTGTATTTGGAAGAGGCTGCCCAGGGAAGTGGTAAGTCACCATCCCTGCAGGTATTACAAAGACGTCTAGAAGTGGTGCTTAGGGACATTAGTTTAGTGCTGGACCTGGCACTTCTAGGTTAGGGGTTGGACTCGATCTTAAACGTCTTTTCCAACCTAAACAATTCCATGATGTTCTGTGAGTGTGTGTAAGACTTCATAACCGAGGATTTAGCTAAATGCTTTCACTGGGTAAGCCATGAGTTTTAACTCAAAACGGGCTACCTATGTGCAAAATTATACACTGTGAAATGCCCTGACTGGTGCATTTTCAATTAAAAGGTTACTCAAGCAGAAAATTAAGAGCCCAAATGGAATCAAACCGCAGTTCTGGGAGCAGGAGAGGATCCTATGCATGCACCAAGGCAGTGTCACAGGGCTCCGATGGCTCGTCCCCACCACGGCCACAATCCCTGGGGCAGGCTTGGAGCCAGCCCTGGGGCCAGCGACCGGCAGAATCAGGCCCGCGAGGCCGCGGGTGCTGCCGTCCGGGCAGTCACAGCAGTGCACACCCCGTGAGGCTGCAGCCCCGGCTCCACCTCGGCAGGACGAGCCCTGGCCAGGACGGGGTCAGAGGACGTGGTGGTTTGGGAAAGGACAGCTTGGTGCTGCTTTCACAGACGTGTGGCTCGTAAACCAGCGTTTCCGACGGCTCCTTCTACATTTTGTACGAAAACACGTGAGGTTAAAGATCGCAGAGCTGGTTTGCTTTACCCAGCGTAGCCCCAGCTTTCGATCGAGTTCGTTGCAGCTTTCTATTAGCTCAATTATTACAATCCATAATCAGTGCACTACAATGATTCAACTTGACTTTATGTGATGAGTATCTTGCCTTGTCATGTAACAGATTGTGTGTACGTTGTATTTCTCTAAGGACCATCTGACCTTAGATATTAAATAGAAACATACTAGACCAACTGAGAAACATTTAATACATACATTTATCCCCTTAGATGTATTAAAAATTCAGAGGAAAAATAAATATTTAAGATGGTAAAGTATGTTTACCAAATGTTTTAACAGCTGCCTTTAGAGACAAGGAAATGGAAATGATGGGTGTTTGTTTCACAGGGTAATGCTCGCAAAATTCATTTGAGTATCTGTTAAAGTGAGTGTAATGAAGGTGGTCTTGAAGGGAAGGACTTTGGGGCGGGAAGGAAACCGTAGGAGCGAGTTCCAAGGACGTGTCGAGACAGTCTCTGCCCACGTACTGCTTGGACTGTGGTTTGTTTCTAATAACAATATCTTCTCCAATTGAACTGCCTGCAAAGGGACCACACGTTTTAGGAGCCACGCGGCAGCTGTGCCCATGCCAGAGCGTCCCGTCAGCGTCTGTTCCCCCCTCCCCGGTGGGGCTGCAGGTGGACTGGGAGGGGACAGAGGGACTCAGCCATGTACAGACCCAGCTCCCCCAGTTATGGAGGAAGACACGGGCTCAAAACCTGGTTTCTCATCCCTTTGTCATCTATCTGACTGACTCCTTCTTCCCACTGGGGACTGGAAGAAGTCCTGTTCTGTCCTCCCCTCGCAGGCTGTAAGGACAGATCTACACCTTTTTACCCCTGCCCTGCCATCAGCACGACCACCTCAGTGCACAGGTTTATACAGATGGAGGCAGCTGAAATACGGAGTGGCATGAGAGAATGGAGGGGGAGGTAGGAAGACTCGTTAAAAGGAAGAAAAGAAAAAGAGAGGGTGTATAAGTGCAGCCCTAAACGGTAACCTATGCACTGATAATTTACATCTGCTTTGCAGGTCTATTAGTTCAGTTATCTGTTAAAAACCTCACGCCCCAGCAACTGCTGCTTGCCAGGGGAGTTAGGCTGGCTCCGGGCTGCCATACCAAACACCTTCTGGAAGCAGCACAGGCAGATTTGCGGAGCTGGTCCCTGCTGCAGCTGAGGACAGCAGAGAAACAACCTCTCTGTTGCCCACTCCCCTCTTAAGTGCAGGCTAACCCAGGCTGAACACGCACTGCAACTGACACTCAGAATTTGAAGGAAACTGCAGCGAGCATGGAGCATCACAAGTCACATGGAAAGATGCAGTCAGTGCCTGGTCACACTATATCTGGATGCAGCTGATGTTATCAGCCTTGTGCCGTCTGAAAATTGAACCTGGCAGTTTTAGGAAAGCAATGAACTTGCTCTGTCATGATACCGGAGTCTGCTTGATCTTCAGAACATCCCTGTTCCCAGGCACTGTGCTAGCACAATGCACAGGGGTTTGGTCCTGGCTTGCAGTGGGGAGCATCACAACCACGGCCCTTCCCAGCTGGCGGGGCACTGCCAGGGCAGATGCTGCAGCAGCTGCTGCCTGAGAGATTTGGGGAGATAAATGGGTATGAGTAAGGAACAGAAAATGGCAGAGAAGTTCATGTCGAGGCTTGGACAACAAAAACCCACTCAAGATCTGCCCCAGCTAACCTGGAGGACAAGGGCAAAATGTGATGATGAGCAGTATGAAACCTCTCTTGCAAGGTGACTGTCACAAATAACATGTCATAACTGAACCATGTGTAAGAGAAACAAAAAGAACAAGCTGAACCTGATCCAAACACCACTGACATCAGGGCAAGGATCCCTGCTCCATCCAGTGACCTTTGGAGCAAGTTCTCAGGGTGAGGTAACGAACTAAAAAACCAACTTGCAACGACTCAATGCAAAATCTGACCATGGAAAGTGGTAGTGAAAGGGTTTATCTAGGGAGAGCCAAACACTATTTGTGAATTTATTCTAGATTGGTATATGAACACTTAATTTCACTTGAAGCCGCTGTAGCAAAATGATCATTATCATGCACTTAAGATAGCTAAATTTACCACATCTTTTTAATTCATAGGTCAATGAACTTCAACCTGCAACTATGGCTTCTGTTTTCCTTCTGTATGTCTACAGAAAATAGTCGTATACAGGAAGTGTGTTGCCAACACCTGGCTCCAAGGTGCAGTTAATGATTCAATAGATATGGTATAATGCATCAACCAACCTTAAGAGATGCCTTATGCATACCACAGTCCTTGCAAAAAGGCACTCCTACCTGACAGGGATTAGGAATGTTTATATTCATTAGACTTATTTGAGAACAACACACTGCGTACTCATCTGCACACTCTATATGGGAAGCTAAACCCACAACTGACACAATGTCACCGAAACTGGCACAACCGGAGATGAGAAATTTCATGACATTGTCTTTAAAAGCTGTGAAAGGAAGAACCTGTGTTTTTACCTCTTGGCCCATTTCCATACTGCAAAGCTTTGTTGACTGAGCTTTGGCATCCACCATGACATTAAACATGGTGCATATTGATTGAGGGACTCGGAAATCTGTTGATCGGCTGGTTTTCTGCAGCTTTACTTCAAATGCAATCCTGGTTCTGTTAAGGAAAGTAGAAAAAAAGACATTTCAGTTGCTTTTAAACATACTGAAGATTATAATATGAGATAATACTGAGAAGAGTTGGTGAAACCGGAAAGCCGAATGCTGCTGGGAGTGTTATAGTGCAATTGTTACAAATGTGCTTCTACTAAAAATGATTTTCCAGCTTAAAAAGAAATCCACTTTCCAGAATACACACTATTTATAAAGTGTGCAATGGTTTCACGGAAAGTACGACTTTCTCGTGCTTGATAAACAGTGTGAGGATGTTACAAACAGCAGTGTCAATGTACACCCAGAATGGGGTTGCATTAGCTGATTTGTAACCACATACAGCAAGCCTGATGTATTAAAGGAAGCTCCTATTGCTCCATGTACAAAATAACAGAACCTTGTTGATTGCTTGACTGAAAGGACGTTGCGCTTTTAGGTCTACATGATTTGCTTGCTGAAAGTTCCCAATTGTCTCATAAATTCATAGAAGCGGTTTCCCTGAACCACACTTATCCACCAGAATACATCTGCAAAATGCGCGCAGGCGCAGTCGCGTGAGCCCGCGCCTCACTGCTCTCCTGAGCTTTCACTGAGCTCACATTTGACATCCCTGGTGGTTACAAACTGTGTTACACCAAGAGCTTTGTTGGGCCGAGGACTACACAATTTCATCCCACATCATACTTTAAAATACCAAGGCATTTGTGACTCTAACACAGGGAATACTCTAAGCACGGTGGGCATTGCCTCGCCTTTCTTTGGAGCCCCTCTGCAAATTCCGGAGGTACTTCACTATTCCAACCTAACACAGAACAATTATCACATCAGGCAGAATCTGCCAACAAATTAACATAGGAGCTTCAATTTAAAAATAACAAATAATATCAGCTGCAGCTCAGGAATAACTCTGATCTGGAACGATCCCCCAAGGGTATGCAAATGAAAAGTCATTTACAAATGCAAAACTCCCATTCTTGGGACCAGATCTAAGCCGGTACACAAGTCCTCCCGCCTGCGTTTATTAGCGAAGTAGGTCCTCCTTACAAGGGCTGCTTTCCTGACAGCACCGAAATACAACCAAGTGCGGAAGGCGGGGTGGCTCCTCCATGGTATTCAACGGTTCAGAGACAGACGCGAAGAAAAATGTTGTGTCAAACTGAAATTGCTAAAGAAACCTTAGCCAGGCCCTGTTTGCAGGTGATATAAATAGGGAAGGCAGCATATTGGTTTACATCAGCAGTGGCATTTGAACTGATTTAATTACCAGTGCCAGATTTAGCCTGGACTCGGGGACTAGAATCTTGATAATTACTGAAAGGACCCAAAGTGACTGGGATTTTCCATCTCCTCGCAGGGATGAGCATGTTCCTACTTACTTATGCTCAGAACCATTATATATAGTCATACCATTACAAGCTGGGCCAGGCTTTTACAGAGGGGCAACATATTTGTAGAAAGGTTGAAGCAGTTGGGAAAAAAAACCCCTCAGCTTTCAGGCACACAAGCCCTTCTTCAAATGTACCTGGAAACTTGCTTATTTTTCCCGGTTATCTCAGCTGAGCTAACCTGGTCTGATTTCTATAGATCATTGCAGCTATAATTGCACTGCAAGTGGAGCAAAGGTGTCTTGGTTCCAACTTAATAAAAAAGAAAAAAAAGAGAAAATAAGTGTTTTGCTGGCGGTGCTGGGGACAGAGCAGAGAGCAGAGCTCCAGCACTGGGTTTCCTCCCAAAGGACAGTGTGACAACTGGAGGACAGCTGAAGGCCAGAGTTCCTGCCAGCCAGAGATGAACCGCTACAATAAAGGGGGACTTGCTCGATGCCAAAAGACATCACGACCATCTCACTGCACTTAAAATGCACGGGGGTTTGTTCTAGAATGGTGAGAGAGCAACCCTGGAGCTGTCTGCCTTCCAGCCTACACCCCAGGGACCGAACGTGCCTTCCCCTACGGTGACATCCCACAGCCAGATTATGAGGAACACGCGAACGATAAATGCCGCGCTCGCACTTGCACAGTGGCCAGGCAATTGTGGTACAGAACAGTCACATCACACGTGGTGGCTAATATTAGCATGTACCAGCTGTATTTGGCACCCATTCTTCCTTGGGTTCATCTCTTTGTCTATTTTCTGCACAATGGAATGCAAAGTTCATTTCTTCCTCCTGCCTCATCATCTCTGGTGCCAAATGGATATAAATTACTGTGGAAAGCTTGGAAATTTAACCTCAACATTTTGCTTTCAAAATGGAAGCTGCCCGTATGTTTATTTATATATTTTTTTAAAGAAACCTCTCCTGTTTTGGAAGATCTGCAGGTGAATATCCTACAACGTGGCTGAAAAAGCTAAGCGTTTTTCAGTCAGTAGCAGATGTGAAACCTGTGCACCAAGCTACCCACTATGCCCTTTTGGGATCACTTTTTTGCTTGGTTTTTTTCATGGATCTGTGGTTTTTAGATGGGTGCTGGGACCTTACTTAGGGATATGCCTTCAGCACTCAACCCTGCCAACACCAAACTGCATTTACAGACTTAACCTCACCTGCGGCACCGGAAACAAGTAGCTGCCCATAAAACTTGAAAGAATGGATGATTTACTGCCTTTTACTGTGAATATGCACTCCCCAGAGGCTCAACAGAGAAGTGCTTGCTTGGGAGAGTCCACAACTTACAGCAAGAGGGTGGCTTTCCACCACGTCTCTGCTGGGCAGAGGTGAGCTAGGGTCACTAATAAATGGTGGCTGAAGTGAAGCTTCATTGATAATAAGAGAAAAAAAAGCTTCTGTGAGAAACATGACTAGTTTGCTTGTGGGCAGTACCTCTTCACACAGGACTCGATCATGTCACTCGCCATAAGCTTCAAGCGTTGCTCCAAGTGTTTTCCAAACTCCTCCTCAGGCCAGTGCAAATCCCGAATGAAGGTCTGTAGGGCATCAAGTTTCCAGAACAGATCTTCTGAGGTGCCTGATCCATTGCTGGCAGGGCAAAACGAGAACAAAAGTCATAAGTGGCATCAGGCTCTTTGTAACCTGATGTGTTTACAAGTGTAGAGCAGACAGTAGTTTCATACACAGGACAGTGCTGGCAATCTCCACCATCAGGATTTTGAGTTTTACCATACAGTTGCCTAATCTACCTTGCTGTCATAACCCACAAAACTTTCCAGACCAGATGAGTAAGACAACATTATGGGTCACACATATTAACAGGAAGAATGTGTGTATGGTAAAAATCAGCCTTAGTTAATAACCACGTTAACGCAGGTGATTATTAAGAATTAAGGCTAGAAATTGTGGTAGAAGATCCTTGATCAATAATAACTGCCATACTAGACTGTATGCAGTTATTAAGATTTAGGGTTTCATGCAATTCTCCCCCCTCTGAATTATACCTTGAGTTTGCCTTGTCCCCCCCAACGAGGCCCCCGTTTCCAGGTAAGGGACAGTGCTAACAAGTGGTGAGCGAGGACACGCTTTATCTCTTGAACAGCTGAAAAAAAATTGGGGTAAATCAATCGAGCTAAGGGCACTAGACATCTCACACCCAGGAGTTTTGGCAGCATTGACCGCTGCACCTTTTCACAGATCTGCCTCTTGCAAAGGCATCTACAGGACAATGAATTTCCATTAAAAGTAATATATATATATATATATGTATTTTGCAACATCTTTGGTTTGTCACAAAACTCTGAATTTCTCTCCCAAGCATATATTCTCATAACCCACACCCCTGCCCAGATGGAAGTCTTTGGTCCTGCAGCGTGTAGTTACACCGGCTCCTTTCACAGTATAATTATATCTCAAACCTCCACTTACAGAATAAAAATACAGAACTGGATTGCACTTTGTCTGTGCAGAGAAATTTATGCATCCATAACCTTCTTCTCTCCCTCTCTCCTTCTCCCTCACTTCTTTTTTTTTCCTTTTTCTCTTTTTTTTTTTCCTCCCCCCAGAACAATTACCAAGGGAGCCTCAAGAGTTTCAACCCCCTCCTCGCATACCACTAATGCTAACACGGCAATTTGTAAGATGTTGAACACACCATGCATTACCACCGGTGCTGACATCATCTATAGAAACAGATGAGGGAGGGTGTTTCTATTGTGACAGATGCCAGCTGCATTGAGTTAATGCTAGAGGAGACCGGAGCTAATGCACACACGGCTACTGCAAGGGGGGAACCGTGGTCACAACATGCTAGAGGGGTCCTGCAGGCTCCTGGGCTAATAAGATAAAGAATGAGTAGTTCTTGCTTGTAGGAGAAACGGATCTGACACTAAGCAACAGGTAACATACCCTTGATGGACGGGAAGGGTGAGTAAAAGGAAACTGGAGAGGTGAAAAGATAAAGAATCAGGCATTTCCTTTAACCAGGGGTCCGGTTTGTACAACAGGCTCAAGCGTTCATCTACCGCCAGTTCTCAGTTGCGCCTGGTTCAAATCTGTGCTTGGGTGTACATAGGTTTTAACAGTCTAAACCCAGTTTTGGAACTGCATGAATTTACGTTTTAAATAATTAAATATGTACGATTACAATAATTGGTATTTACTACAGCACCATTCAGACGTCCTTTTGGTGGCAAAAATTTAGAAGTATTTTTCTGGGTCTATTTCTCACTTTTGACTAGGGCTTCACACCAGTAAATGATAAAGTATATTCATTTCCAAGATACACCATTAACATTTGGTTTGTGAGCACCACAATTACCCTAATCATGCAGTGGGCTTGCAGTACATCATTGACGCTCAAGCATTTTCAGAGGGATTAATATAATTTTCAGTCATGACATGATTCTTATCTTTTCAAGGGCAATACCACAAAGCATGCACAGAGATAGATTAAAGCTTTCAAGTACTCTTTACAGACAACTACCTAAGCTAGCCTTTAATATAGCTATCTTAGCATGAATATGGGTTGTATAGCTTTGAAACATAAACAACCATGCTAATATTTAAGAAGTTTTTAAAAATCCATTAAAAAAAAGTCAAACACCAGTGTTTGCTTTGCTTTGGTTCGTTACCACTGCTCTGCAATACAGCCTGAGCGAGGCTAATTGCAGAGGCATTTGGGTGGACTCCAGGTGTAGATGTAATCGAGGGTCTTTCCGTAACCGTGAAGGGGGTAGTTTTGGATGGTTCCTTCAGTTAGATCCTTCAGGTGAGAAGGTAGGAAAAAAGCAACACATCCATGCAGTGCTGGCTGAGACAACTCCACACCAACCCTAAACAACCCTCTAGGAATTTAGGAGGGAGAACGGGCAAGATCTCAGCTCCTGTGCTGGGACATCCTAGCTACCTCAAAGAACGAGATGTGAGTTGATTCCACTGGGTACACCCCTCCATACTGCTTGGTGGCTGGGACTTTCAAGGGAAATCTGCTATAAGAAGAGAACTTGCCTAATTTGTGCTCAGGATTTGCAGTATGTCCCCCCCCGAGCTCCAGCCGTGCACTGTGGGATGCTCAGACAGGGAGCTGGGAGCGCAGAGCACAAGGCTCCTACAGATCGACTGCTTTGACACCGTGCCCAATTTTCCAGACCATAATGAAAAGCTCATGTTGAAAATATCTTTCTTTAGTTGGTCATGGCATTATTCAGGCTGTAATGATAACTGTGGAGCTTTAATTGCTCTCCAGAGTCTCTCCCAACATGAATAAAAACTGTTGTGGTGTGTTCCTCTTTGTTAGATCATTTCATCAAAACCAAGACAAAAATTATTATCTGGGAAATGCGGAGCTTGTATTAAATAAAATTCACTTTTAGATCTACATCTGGTCCACAGAAATTGGTTGACTGGCATTGAAATTGGTTCGTCTTCTCTTTTGGACAATACTCTTTGCTGAGACACACAATGTCGCATTGTAAGTTCCGTGGTTCATATGTTGTTCAGACCATGTCCCATTGTTGACAGCTCTTTTGCAAAGCAAGATACTTGCTCAAACTCTCAGTGGGAGTAAGATGAATTTTCAAGATTCATACAAAAACCCCTCAAAATACACACGCCAGAAATTCACTAGTGTCTCATTCAGAAAATGTCTAATTAACTGCATCACTCTTTAAAGTTTTATATAATGCACAGAAACAAACAATACATATCCATGCCAAGATTACTTTAAATTTAAATGAGATCTAATTTGAACTGAATACACACTCAGAATCATAAATAGCAGCCATCCATGACGGTGCAGAAAAGCTAGGCATTTGTGGGATGCCTAGTGGGATGTTAACTGGTAGATTTGGTACTTTAGGGAGATTCACATTTGGTAGATTCACATTAGGCAGATTACTTGTTAAACTCCTGTGGAAGAAACAGACAGAAAGAAAAAATACCATAACAGTGACAATGCAGATGTAGCAGAAGCACGTGACACTCATAAACAAATCTGCAAAGTTCACAGCACGAGGACGGTTAAAAAACGAAAGCAAAACATTTCAGAAAGAAGCATGAGGATGGAAGCTTAAGTGTACTGGGTTTGCAGTCTGCAATAAAAAGCAAGTTACTTAACCTCCCCCCCCGCCGAAAAACAACAGAATGAAAAGAAGCAAATTAACAAAGCAGCAAATTAACAGAGTACTCAAGCACCCAGAGAAAAGAACTCCAAGTCCTGATATCATTTCAAAGTGCCGAGAAAAGCCTTTCCTTGGAAAAAATCTCTCTTGTAGGGAAGCAAACCTCAGTTCTTACATAGTTAGGTTGGATGAAAGAGCTAAACTGAGATCTACTAGAGAACTAGGAATCAAAAGAACAAACAGAGAGTTTGTCATTCCAGCCGCGCAGAAGTCCATAAGAGTTCTTCTTACCACCAAATTCAGGAGTTGGGATTTCACTCCAAAGCCTCTCTGTTTATTCTGTACTGCACAAAGAACAAAGATGTGCTAATCTGGAGCAGTTAATGGTGAACCACGAAGCTCCTCCTCAGTGCAGACTCATGCCCTGATTCTCCCTTGTATTCCTGGGTGTGGAAAAATGGGTCCCACAAGTTGCCCAGTTCTGTATATGCACTTAAATAAATTACACCGAATAAATCCAAGATCGATATATGAACGTATCTTGGCTACAAACGGGCCATGGGGTGATTAAGACATTCCAAGATTAATTTCTCAAGCATGTGTACCTGGGCATCATGCCTTCAGTAAATATTTTCAGACAACTGTTATGCAAATAGAAATCTTTGACCAGTGGCCCAGTGTATTAACTTAATGCAACATACTCTCCTGAAACAACAGGTGATGCAACAGCACAGGGACCTGTTTCGGTGTGCTACGTCTCTAGATGTTATAAAATTGGTTTATTTCTCTGTTAAGGTGCAAGTTATCACGGTTAACTTTTATGCAAAATAAAAATGTCATGGAATTTGGCAATTGGAAGTCACTTTCAGAAGTGTATCTTGTTTCTGCCTTAATCTAGTCACGCTATACGGCACTCTGGGATGCAGTCCATAGATGGTTTTACGGTCCCGTTTGAGTAATAGAACCCGGCGCCTTGAGACCATTTTCACTGGATTGTTATTTGGGCTCAGTGAAAACGGAATCAGGGCTTCAGGATTTCAGGTTCACCCTGCACTGCTGAAGCTACTGAAAGCTTTTCTGTTGATGCACACGGGCACAACTTCAGTGTTCGACTTCCCCACTCTCGGTGACCGCACCAGGACATGCCGCTGTCGGAGGCCTCTCCTGCTTGCCTGGATTAAATTAGTTACTGTACAGGCAGCATTCATTATCTGGACTCTTGAAAAATATCAAACTATACACTAAGTCCTTCAAGGAAAATTAAAATCTTAGCAACCTCCTTGAGTCATATTTTGAACTCCATTTCTTACTGCACATTTTATATATCAAAAACTGAAGTAATGGAATTGAGCTGGCTCTACCGAATAAATGTTGCCTAATACAGCAGAAGATTTGAACCAGATCTCTGCAAGAGCTTGGCTTATCATTGGTGGCAAGTCTTAGGGAAGAGAGCTTACTTTTGTTCTCCCTTCGTGAATAAAATCCCTTGCTGGGGAGGAAAACCACGACCCAAAGTATTTTTCTAGTGAAAAAAGAGAGCACGTTCTTGTTTGCTTTAGTCTCTATGATTCTTAGTAGATTTGACTTCGCGCTATCTGCTTGTCCTGTTTGTTAGGCAGGAAGCAGATGTGGGAATTTTCTAACGTAACAAAGCTGTCCATTGTCTCCATTCATACTGCACCAGCTATTAAGATGGTATGATTATTGAATGAGACACAGACTCCATAGTGATTGAGAGCGTGTTAAATCTTCAGAAATGGCAGTGCATGTGGCTAGATACTGATATGGAATAAATAAAGAAATAGCAAGAGGTGGACAACATATAAATGTATAAGGAAAAAGCAACTTAAATAACTTAGCCAGATGGTAAATACATAAATCAGAGGACCTTTGGTTTTAATATTAAAATTCAAGAAGTGACAGTGTTATATTAATAAAAACACTGTATTAATAAAATATGACTTCTAGAGTAAACAGTATACTATATTCACAAGGAAACATATTTCTTTTATACAACACATTATTTTGCTGATGCAAGGATATGTTGCAAGAATAAGTTAGTACTCTTAAAACAAAACAAAACAGCAAAATAATGGAGTATATTATCTTAACATACAGTAACTAATTTTAAAAATATTCTCCTGAATTGACATGCACAGTTTTGCAGGTTCAACCGATCTAATTATCTGACTAACAGTTGCAGTGAGACCTGTAAAAAATGATTAATATTACCAACAAATGTTCCAGCCTGCAGTTGCTCAGACCATAAAACTACAGGTCCAAGACGAGAAACTGTTTCTAGAAGCCAGCCATGCCTATTTAATATAGATGGCTAAATATAACCTCAGCCATCAGGCAGGGAATGTGGGCATTTGCATCGACAAGATGAGGGCTGTCTGATTTCAGACGACTCAGCTTCAGGACTGGATCCTGCTAAGTTTGATAAAAGACGCACGCTCCGGAGCTGTGGTGCTCGCTTTCTCAGCTTCTTCTGATTCACCCCCGTTTGTGTCTGTTAGCTGCGTAAAAGCCTTTCACCTGTACTGTCTGCTGGGAAATTCTCAGTGCAAACAGACTGGCAACACACCCCTGGACAACATCCCAACGCTCACGCTGTGCTGTAGCACCGATCGCAGAAAACAAGTCCAATTGCACAGGGGCTGCTCTGGTAGAGCTGCCCTAGCACTGAAAGGAGGGCAGAAAAAAATCACAGCGCTTTTACTGAGTTGTCTCCTGGCTTCAGAATAGAGCCAAACGAGACCTTTGTCCATCCTTAAGCGCTCAGTTCCTCTGGGATGCCTGAAATGACGGGAGTTTGCCTCTTCCATCACTATAAACGCTTGCTACTTTACTGCCTAGGCTGAGCAAATGCTCAAGAGCAAATCTTTTCACAAAAGCCTCAATGTGAAGCAAAGAGCTTGATAGTGAAGTAGGCAGTCAAATCTGGGCTCTTCCCGTGACTGACACCCAGAATAGCAACAAAAATACTCATTTTCACTACAACGGTGGTTCTTTTAAAGGGAAACATTTTTCACTAGCATTTTGAAGTAGTACGACCTTGTCAAATGATTAGTGTAATCATACTGTTTAAGTTCTTACATTTATCTTGATGATACATTTATAAATAATTTGCAAAGGGTTAGCAAGCAATTAGGAGATGCTAAAGCCAGGACTAGAGTGCTGCAGAGACAGCTGTAGGTCAACGAGTAACGTCCTAGTCAAGTGATTGAAACTGGTTGTCATTGCACCGGCTTTAGCATTTGCTTAAAAGGATCTTTCAACACAGACACACACACACAGAGACACACACACACGTACGTGTCTGCTGGCTGCAAGATAAATCAGCGTTCTCCGAGAAGCTAGCATAAAAAAAACCAATCCCCATTGCAAACCCTACTTTTCCAAGACCTCTCAACTCACCAGAGAACAGACCTACTCTGTATCCTCCGTATTTGGATGACTGTGCGAAGGACAAGTGTGCCACATTTCTCTGCGTGGATTCACACAAGCACACCAGCTGCTCTAGCTATAGGGCATGGACCCCCTGCAAATTCAGCAGCTCTGCAGAGGCAGATTACAGAGCCCTCATGAGCACATTACATCGATGCTTTCCCCCCCCGTGTTTTCAATACTTAACAGTATCTCCCTCACTGTTTGTGATTTCTCTACCTAACTCCTTGTAGCATAAGGTGCAGAGTACTCAGCAATGAAAATAGAAGAAATACATGCTTGCAAACTGCCATCTGGTCAGGTTATGGAGGGCTACATATTTCAGCCTTGATTGCAAGCATGAACATAGAGAAATCCTTTCAAAAGACTCTACGTTGTGGAATAATTTCTTGGTTAACAAGAGATAATGAGATTTCCTTCTCACAATTCACTGTAGAGATCCAAAATGGGACAACAGTAAGCTCAGTGGAACGGACAGCCACGATGATCTACCTTTTCTGGCCATCCTAAAAGCCCTTCTTCAAAGCAGAAGAAAGCCATGGAGAAACCTACTGCAGTTCCCTAAATGCTCTGCTGAAGAGGTGGCAATGGAAGGACATGACTTGGATGGGAATTGGCTTGTTCAAACTACCTGAGAAATAAAAAAATTTAACTGTGCTGCAGTATGGACATGTGGGGGGAGAAGGCAGTAGATACAGGTGGGCAAATCAAACTAAATAAGTCTCTGACCTGAGTTTTTCTGCAAGTTCACTGTCGATCAGACAAAGAGGAGCAGGTGGTCTGCCCAGGAGGCAAAAGATGAAGATGTCTTAACATTTAGTTCTGAGCGGCACATCGAAAGCGTCATAAGATCTGAGGAACGACACCCCTCTTCTCCTTTACACTGTACGTGCCACCCTCTGTGCATTCACCGGTGCCTCCCGTCACCGGGTTGCACCGCGTTAAGCCAGCATTTGCAACTCGCACTTTTGTGTGCGAGACACAAGAACAAAATACCAACTAGTGAAAAAAAAAAAGAGGAGTGCATCTTTTCACCAGATGGACATGAGCTTCTTGTGAAAAGCACCCACTTTCCTGCTGGAAGAAATCTTTTAAATACCCAAGTCTGTAAGACAGTCCGTCCTGGGCTTTCACTTGAAACTGCAATGCTCAAAGCACTCTGTAACAGGAACTCCAGAAGGGATTAACCATGACAAGAGAACTGAGAAAAGATCTTTTGTAACTATCAAAGATAACTTGAAAATGACAGATAATGGTGTAGGCAGGGACAAAACACATTGACAGGCAAGTACCAGAACCAACTACTTGAGGACATCTATAGTCAAGCCACTGAAGTCATTAAAAGCCAAAAAGATGTCAGCTTCTGACAAAAGAAAAAAGCAGAACGAATTGCTTATTTACTGCTTGACTGAGGCAGACAGGTACACAGAATTAACTGCTTCTGTTTTGTAACAGACACGGAAATACAAACACATTCATTACTAAAGCAGAGCTCTGAAACTGAAGTTAATGCTAACTTCGAAGTGCAATTCTGCTTGAAGGAGTGGCTGTAAAAATGGCATTCTCCTACTCGAAAGATCTATTTCTTGTATGTTTTCTGGGTCACATCTGCTTATTTGAAACAAGATTTTTTAGGATTTTTAATCCTGTTAGCCTGCAGACCAAAGACAGCAAATGGAAAGTGAGAGAGGCTCCTGAACGCCAGCCACTTAACCCCACTCAAAACAGAGGGGAAGATCAGGTGTCAAGAAAAGGCCTGAGATTTGGCAGGCAGAATCCTTATGGATGCTGAGGATGCACAAGAAAGAAAGGAAAAAACCTGGGTACTCCGACTCCAAGTTGCATATGGGAGGCTGGCTGCTGAACAAAATCTCTTTTCCTTGTAACCGGAACATATTTGGTGTGAAAAGCCCTGAAAGACCACACGTTCTTTTATACAGCAACCTCTGAGAGTGCAGTGCCGGTGAACTCTGCCTAGAGAATCACATAAAAAGCAGGGAAAATAGTCTCTCCGGAGGTCACCTGGTCCCAACCCCCTGTCTGAGGCACTGCCAGACTCGTGCTGTTTGCAAAGGGTCAATTTTTCTCTTTTAATACCCTTATTAGAAGGAAAAGGCAGTTCTTTTCCTTTGCACTGACTTGGCTTTTTAGAGCAAGCATGGTAGGACTCAGCAATGCTTCAAAACCTGTGAAATAACAACAGTAATCCAAATTTTTTCTCATTCTCCGGCTCTTGAGTTCAATTTGGGTTTCTCACAGGCTTACTTATTCCTTGCTGGTAAATCCCTAGTTCACCAGATTTAGTAATTGTGCTTTGAAGCCATCTTTTATGATGGTTTCCGAACACCTGACCCTACCAGCAAGGGAGTTGGGACCCAGCAGAATTGCCCTGGGACACGGGGACACACGTGGCCATCAGCTGCGGCGTCGATGCGAGAGGTACAATGCTGCTGTCCCTCCCCGGGCTGGGTGGAAAAAATGAGTGTTGGGAAGAGTAAGTACAGCAATGAGTCACACAGGTTGTAGGGCTGGGCTGAACAGATAGAATTAAGGGGGTTTTGTTTGGTTGGTTTTTTTGTTTTTTTTTTTTTGTTCTGAAAAGGAACTATTTGAGTTCAAAAGCAGCATTGGAAAAGGCCTTTTAGAACAGGATCCAAAAAGCCATGCCAGCTAAGAAGGTTTTCACATTTTCATGCTTCCATGTCCAAAGGCACACGGTTCAAACTGAGGCAGCAAAGCATTTCAAAAAGCAAATACCATTTCCTTCATTAACTCAAAAAACCCTGAAGAGAACAGGCCTTCTATTTTTAGCATCAAACTAGAAAATCTAAGGCACTTTCTGCATGTCCAGCCTAAGGTTTGCTAATTCATCTCTGTATGAATCTCCATCCATTTGCACCCAAATTGCGATTGTATCAAAGGAGGTTTCCTTACTTTACGGGCTCCCATGACTCCCGCTCAAAGCCCCTGTGAATTGACTGTGCAATTGAGGACTCCATCAGATCGACATATCTAACAACAAGTGGAGCAAACAGGTCTTGGAGGTGTTTGTGGAATTTTCCATTGCACAAATTATCTAGAATAGATAAATAAAAGTATAGTAAGCACTACTGTTACTGAAACCTCTGTAACAAACCACAGCGTGGCACTTCATTACACAATGAATTTGTCAGCGAACAGGAAGAAACATCACAAAAGCTGGCTTCAGGCACCAGTGCTCACGACAAAGACAGCAGGAAGGGCTTCTTACTCCAGACAAATAAACAGACAACAAATCTTCCTTTCCATTAATGTCAAACTTACAAATACATTATTACTGCCTGTGAATAAAACGGATGTAAGAAATACAGCACGGCAAACATTATGGCTTTCAGGTAGGAGAATCATTTTGTTCTTGTTACTCGCTGCTATGACGCTGGACATCGCTCTCTGAGGATGTCCTGGCTTTTTCATATGGTCTTAGAAATTCAAGTGGGGCCCTGGTCTGGGACCCAACTGAAGGCAATGCCAACTCTGCCGCCAGCTCCCCAGGGAGCAGCAGGACCACCCACGAGAGTGCCAAATGCTCACAGGTTTTGAAGGCATGGGCACGTGTGCTTTGGAGAAGAGCCTTATTTCACAAAGTGCTATTCGTCTGAACTACTCCTGCTTCCATTTACTTTCATATTTTCCTCCCTAAAATAAAATCTTCTAAAGCAGGGGCTCCTAAAACTAGGAGTTTTACTCCATGCTAACTAAATGCAGTACAGACATATAAAACGATACACACATTTAATGACAGTGAGATAGAGAACCTAATTCCCTGCTTATCAGGCAGCCACTACCAAGAGACTTGAGAAGATGAAGCAAAATAAACGTTCAACTTCTCACCTTCTACTGAGGCATTTGATTTAAGGAGTGTCTGTGTGCTCTTTTCCAGTGGAAATGGAACAAAACCAAGCAGATGCTAAAAGAGTATGTACTCTAAATCTCTACCCGTCTCAGTTCTCTGAGCAGTATGGAGAGGCTGAAGGTGTTATCAGCAACCTGAGCCGCCCATTGAAATAGAAACGATGAAAATACAATACATACAGTCACTACGGAGGGAATCGTTTAGAAGCTGAAAGAGCGGAAAGCTGTCCCAGGTGTCTGGGGGTTGCACCTCTAACGCAGCATCCATATCCACGGCAAACAGCGACAGGAAGGTCTCCGCGTGCTCAACCATTAAGTCTGACCACCAAGCAAAGGCCTTCAGAGTTGGTAGAAAAAGATAACAAAGAAGTATATTAGTTCTAATAGAGAACAGGGAAAGACTTCAGGGCACGTATCTCAAAACCAAAAAAAAGTGCATCCCATGGAAACTACCTTTATTGTAAAGAGAACAGTGCTTTCAAGTGCTAGCCTGCACAGACAGTGCTAATCACAGCAATTAGGCACTGCTATTTACTACAAAGATTTCTTGCAGAGGATCTGTTCAGAACTCCACCGTAAAGGCACGCGGCTGTAACGTGGTAGAGAAGGTTTCGTCTGTTCAATTTACAATAAATGATTTCGTCCATCTTTAAATATGCTAATTGTCAGGGGAAAAAAATCAACTAATTCTCATCCTAAAGTATGGAAATTTGGGAGTTTCTTCATTGTGCTTGTGGCTTTTCTGCTGTGTTTTTCAACAGTTTAAGTTTTATTTGGGTTCACTACTTCTATTTGTCTTGAAAAACTAGAAACTTAAACCATTAAAATCTGTCCTAAATCACTCACACTCTGCTTTAAGGATATTTCAGACATCACCAGTAAAAGTTATTTCAGCACTGTTCATTTTACATGGTTAGCTATACACATCCATAGAAACACACTACCACCTTCATAATGCTACTGGTTAGGAAACCAATTACAAAGCTCTATTACCAACATGCCAAGATAAAAAAAAAAAAAACTACGGCAAGCCTATATTTTCACAGAGGCAGGAAAAAAAATATATCTAAACTTGAAAACCAAAAAAAAATACCAGTGAAGTAACTCATTCTCATGCACATGGGTCCTGAAAATTCACTGTACGGGCTCTCTGACGTGACATTCACATCATACATGGCTCAGATGTGAATGCTGCAAACGCATGCATGCGTGTTTAGTAATCACTTCTGGCTGGGAACATGCAATATGAGAAGTGCTGTCGTTAGGACCATGTGCTGTCATCTTGAAGTGATAGGAAATTACTCGTGGACTTAAAAAGATCTAAGAAAGAGCTTTCCGGCACTTTGCAAGAAAAAGAAAACTCGAGCATAGGCACAAGACTGGAGATGAAACAGAGCAGACTGGGAATAGATGAATCAGCTTGAAGAGGAACTGCCAGTCGAGAAGGCCTATTTTTTTGCAGGTTTTAGCAGAAATGAATAAACGGAATAGACGTTCAGTTTTGATTCAGTGCTGAAGAACGTCACCGATGTGCAGAGCACACTCTGACTGCAGGTTCACTTGGCCACGGAGAGGGAGCAGTGTCTCAGTACCAGGTTACTGCCATGGACCCCTCTAGTTCCTCCCATTTTGGCCTGACTTCTCAGTGACATTGGCAGAGGCTCTTTGGGACAATTTCCACTCCTTCGTTTCCCCCAAATACAAAGCAGACTGACATCACCCTGCTATTATTCCACGACTTTATATTAAAATTGGTGTGAAGACACCAGCATATAGGTCGGTCATGGCACTGGGCATTATGGCCCAGACAACATCCAAGGTGTGAAACAACCAAAACAACCAAATAACACTCAAACTAATCTCAGTATTGGGCCTGCCCTGCCATGGGGGTGAAGATGTGGATGAGATGGGCTGTGCCGTGAAGGCATGGCTTCAGTGTGCCCAGGGGCAGGCTGGGCAAATGCCATGCCCGGAGCGGCAACACCAGCCGGTCACAGTGTCCCTGTGGGCACGGCATGGGGACAAGGTGGCTACACCGGGCTCCTCTGTCCACAAACTGCCCCCAGCCTCACACACATGGAGGGAACCATCAGGCACCACTCCAGGAACACGTGCCATGGGGCGCTTGGAAAGCTCAGGGGCAGCAGGGACGGTGGCAGCAGAAACCCAGGCGAGGGAAGCTGGAGGGCTGAGCTGGTGTGGCAATGCTCTTCAGCTCTTCCTCCACGTCTGGGGCTGGCGTCCCACCGAGTGCATGGCTGGATGCCTGGATGAGGAGACGTCGAACTGCTGCAGAACCGCACAGGAACCCAAAATGTCAAGACCCAGCTCTGCTTCTGATGCCAGCTCAAACCGTCTCCCAAAAGCGCAGGTGGGAAACGAGCAGATGCTGATCAACCAGGCTGTGGAGGATCCTCTTAAAACTAGCAGAGCTCGTCTGCAGGTTTCAGGGAGGATGTAGGGGCTGTCCTCACACTGCGGTGGTTTCTCTGCTGTGCCAAGAGCTGCCTCCCCATCGGACGCTGCCCACAGGTCTGCGGGCAAAGAGCGATCGCTACGAGGGACCAATGGCCACTGGCAAAAAGGGAAAAGCAGGGAGGCCAAACCTCAACATAAACACTTAAGAGTCCTGCAATAAAAACCTGCTTTCATGAAAAAGGTGGTGGTGGGGGAAAAGCTACTTTTAAGAGAAATTATGAAGAAAAGCATGTAATCATATATGGAACAAAATACACCTGAACCAGTCACAGTTTCTCTTTTGCTGGAAAAGTCAAATTTTAGCTAAGTCTGTAACTTATGTCAGGATCCTCAACCTCCTTCTCCCTAGTCTGGGTGAGCAGGAGCAGTAACACCATACTTTGAAAATCTTCAGGATGGTAACATTTCATTTATTTACCATCTACTTACCTGCTGTGCTCAAAACACAATGTAAAGGGGAAAAAAAAGTGTGCTTTCTAGCCAAACACACCTATTATTGTATATTTTACACATGGATACACATGTATATATGTATGACCTCAAGGAGTTAAAATACATATATACATATACACATACATATACATAGAGAGAGAAAACACAAGTTTAAAAATAGGTGAACGCCATTGTCTCTGGCATTTGTCATCAGTCATCCAGAGGAAGGGAAAGGGAGGTGGGAGAGATCTGATGGGAGAGATGACACAATGACAGAGATCTCCCGCTCTCACAGATTACACATGTAGGCACACAGTTTCTGCTGCATTTCTGCCTGCACTGGTTTGCTCCTCTCTTACGGGTAAGATGAACCCAACTGACTAGACACGTTGCTTCTGTTGTAATGTTTTCTTGAGTATTTTCAATGCTCTAGGTATTATCTTCTGGGTTCTCATTAGCAAGTCTGCCTGGATGTCCATGTGAGGGGAAAAAAGGGGCATGTTTTAATGACAAAAACTTTGTTTTCAGTAATTCAAGGCATTTCTTCAGTAAGTGGTGCAATTTAACCTTCTTCTGAACATCCAAAGTAGGCCAAAGAATAACACCTCGCAGGTCAAACCTTCTTCAGGTGAATGGACAACATGTTAAAAAAGCCTCACCTGGAATAATTTAAAAAAAAAAAATAAAAGGGCAACGCCTCAGCAATTCTCATTGCACAGTCAGAGCATAATGCGGCTACGATGCATAACAAAAACCAGCGCTAAACCATCCAGCCTCTTCTCTCTCCTCCTTTGGGTGCAATTCAAAGTGTGCAGAGAGCTGGCCAACTGCCTGTACCCTGCTGAAATGCCACAGCCACCCTCAGGACAGGGATTCGATAACGTACCGACAGCGTGCCGGGCTTCTGGAGAGAGATGAGTTTCACCCTTCCAGGTCACTGTTCAGAACAAGGGGCCGGGATGCCTCCTATCCGTGTTGGCATTAACCTTCTGTCTCTAATCAAAACCCTGTGACACAAAAGATGCTGGAGAACAGTTTCGAGTCTTCCGCCCGGCGAGGATCTCGGCAGCGTGGCTGGCTGAATGCGACCTTCAGAGGTCTGCTCTTTTCAAAACAACCCGCCTCATTCAGAAGGCTACTATTTCCAAAACAACCTTCCCGGCTGGCTGTACGTGGAATAAAACACTCCTTACCCTCGGATGGGTTATCGCAGCTCCCGCGCAAGGGCGGTGCTCTCGAGCACCCCCTCGCTTGTTGCAAAAATGGGAGTTTATTTCACTCTTCACCCCGTATATTCTCTCTCTACATATAAATACTGTATATCCAGTACAAGGCACATACAGACAAAACCAGAGGAAGACCACTACCATTCTAGGCACTCGTGTAGTACTTAGTCCATCTCCACCACAGGTTGGGTGAATGCAAAACGACAGAGGTAACAACAGGCTGAGGAGAGAGTCCAGGCAGGTAGGGTTGTGTTGGGATGTAACTGCAGCGCTCGTAAAATATACCCATTGCTACATGCATGGACCGGACTGCTATGCCACATTTACCCTCCTGTGTCAGGCTACCAGCCTCGCAAGCAGCCGACTCGAAGTTGCTGTTACATTCCTCGGTCAACGTTACGGAAGCGAGGGCAACCTGGGTAAAATCCCAGTAGGAAACATGGCACTGAGAGGGCATGCACGAAATATGACAGGAGTGACTCGTTTCATTCGGCTTAGTCACATACCTCTTTCCCCTGCCAGGATCATCCAAGATTGAATGAACAGTAGAAAAACAGGGAGGAAATTTAAATATGCAATCAGGCATTAGTTGGGTGTTGTGGATTGTTGTGTATTATCAATAAGTTAAATTATACTGCAAATTTAATATACACTGGAATGATTTTTAGTTGATTGTGAAATTATTTATCAAATGCTCTTAACGAAAAATATAGTGAGTGTATATATATATATATCTCAATGGGAAGGAAAAGAGAAAATAGTGAATGAGTGTTACATTACCTACAGCCATAAACAATAACTGTTCACTCTGAATTTCAAAACAACTTTTCAATATAAACCCAAGAGCATCAGATTTATAGAGAACAGAGGACTCAATCCTGCAAATACTTACATGGGTACGCAACGTCACTCGCTCGGGCACAAAAGTCCCAGCATGCTGAGAGCGGGACCACAGCCAGCAATGCTGCTGCCTGGGGGGGTCAAGTGTTTCCAGGATCAAGCCTCATGATTTTCTGGTCTATATTTGACTCTGACATGGTTTCAGTGGTTTTAAAACGTGAATCTTTTCATTAAAGTGCTTTGAAGAGTCAGAATTAGTTGCATGAGGCCTTAGATAACCCAAATAGCAAGTAACAGCGAATAACTCATGCTAACCTCTGCGACTAGTAATTATGGTATTTGCAATAAGCCAAGGCAGAAGAGGCCAACAGGAAACCAGGTGAGTTAATCGCGTACGGCAGGGGCCTGGGGAAACCCCCGGAAACAACCTGGATGCTCAGACAGGGACAAAAAAGGAACTGTTTGGTTTCGTGGCGGTTTTCCTCGCTCCGGCGCTGGACAGCAGGAGCGGTAAGCTGCTGCAGCGACCCCGCTAGCGCTGGCTGGAGGCACAAACACACGACATTATTTGGAAATACGACCTTTCTGAAAAGCAGACAGGCTTGCTCTTGCGTGTAGCTGGTGGTGAATACATTTGGCCAGATTCGGCTCCTGCTGGCGCTGCACGAAAGGCTGCGGACTGACGCAGGGGGAGAGCAGAACTCCACTAATTCCTCCTGCAGCCCTCCCTCCCCTCTGCAAAAAGCAATCTTCCTGGACTGTTCTTTGCCTTCATCGCACTCGAGCACCATTACTTAAGCACCCTTTCGGCTTTTGAAGAAGACAACCAGTCGGGAAACCTGGGGGGACTCGACCTCACTGGGCGCCGCTGCTCACCTCTGCATGGTGTTCTTCGTTTTGCTGTAGGACTTCAATTACCAATTCTGCCAGACGTATTGTATCTTCTAATTTTTTAGCTGGTGTGACTAACCGGCCTACATTTTCTGTAGTACAAGAACTCGAGTTAAAAGGGAGGTAGAATCAAAAGCTAGACATACAGTAAGTTACTTTAGAGGTTTAAAAAAAAAAAAAAAAAAAGAAATCC